ATGCCTTCCTCAACCGTTCGTCTGTTTGGGGCGAGAACAAAAAAAAAACTTGCCTCTCTCCTTTGCGAGGCTGTACTATTTGTACATCGCGAAAATATTTTAAAACTAAAACTATCTTGAACCTCTCTCTTGCAATACTTTTTCATTCTTATGTACATATAGTTTAGAAATGAAGCCATTTCAAAATCATTTTGGTTGATACCCATATTGTAATAATTCATTGAAATGATTGAAAATTTTGAATTTTACTTTTTAAACCGTTAATCCCTATAATTCAAGTTGAATTTGAATTTTCAAACATAAGTCCCTGCTATACATATATTGCTTAGAAATAAAGCCTTTTCAAGACTCTTCGGAAATAAATTAAATGAATTTAATTTTTAAACGGGTGGCAACGCTTGTACAGCACCTTAGTAATATTTTAGTAGTTCAATCTGAAGGTTTCTTAGCAATCTTTCATTTGACAATCATATATCAATTTTACAGGTAGCTTCCGAATAATTAATCTAAATTTGGCTTTTTGAACAGGTGGCCACCCTTTCCAAAATACTTTCAAACTACAACTTTTTTAAGCCTCTTGTCATCCATTCTTTAATATAATCTTCAAATAAATAATTCCCTTAATTCAAGTCTAATTTGATTTTTTAAACAGGTGGCAGCCCTCCTCCATGAGTATGGAATTAATTTTATTTACATACGTACATATATGTATCTATACCCAGTTCCTGTACTCTATCAAAAATATTTTCTGAGATATGATATGCGGTATGAAAATTCCGTTTTGTGGGAGGTGCCGAGGGGGACAGTGTACAAAATTTAATGGGAATCGTTTGAGTAGTTAAAGCGCGAAAGCGTAATAAATAAACAAACTCAATTTCGGATTTATAATATTAGTCAGGATTTTTTATTAATATTTAATTATCTATTTAGGTCACCCATTGCCACCTCAGCTGGCTGTTGGCTGTTGACCTTTTGTTGTTATTTGTCAGCTTAATTACACAATTATGTATTGCAAAATTTAACTTCTCGATTTACTTTAATTTTGTTTTTTAAAATCTTACTGCAAATCTAGTGCATTTGATCTTAATTGGACACATGCGCCAACAATGCATGTATACAAAGATTTTATTTTTTTTTTTTTTCAAAACAACTCATGTCCGTCAAGATAACAACTAGAAGCAATACATAACCGGCGCTTGCCTACTTTGTCGCGATTAATGTCCAGTCATGGAAGGCAGCTCGAAAAATTTTGTAATTCCTTTATCAATTCTGGTCGCAGCCATGATCACGATGAGAAGTTAAATATGGTAGTGGGCAAGCGATAAATTGCAACTGAAAGTGTGTAAATGCTCTAAGCATTCAACGTAGATTTGATTGTACACAACTAAGGCAGCTAGCTGTTGAGTTGCTTGGGAGGAAGCAGGAAAATAATTTTGCAACCAGTTAAGCTGTAGCATAAAATGCAAAGTATGTAAGTAGATGAAGGACATTGATCTAGAGAGAATACATAAGTATTAATTTATTTTAGTTTTGCTTAAGGAAGGCAGATAAATAATTGAGAAGAAGTTAAGTACAATGACTTTGCATTTTTATTCAAAAATCTATTCTCTATTTTCTATCGGAAACTTGTACAGATCTCTCTCAAATTATTACTTAAACGATTTGAATTTTGTCAAAGCTCTTACTACCACTTGTGAAATCTCTGTAAGGCTTTGAAATAATGATTTGCGAAGCGTTCGTAATCTTCTCTTTTATATTTTCTTCTTCTACATTCTTGCAACTACAGTGTGTTTACCTCTATCCGGCGCCTCGCGTGTGAACTGGTAAGAGAGTGGCCCGTAACATTTTTTTGAGGAAAGTCATCTCTTTTCTATTTAATATTAAGAGCAATGGTGTGCCCTTCCTGTTTAGGTATTCATGAAGGTTTTAAAGAACTAAAGGTTGATAATTGGCTACCAGAGTGGTGTAAACTCTCATAAGCTGTTCATACCTTTTAGTGTCATTTCCTAAGCTTTGCAATTATGCTCAAGGTTCCACTGTCCATTCACCAGTATGATTTCAATTCTTTATCCTAATTTTAGGCGAGAAAACTTCTCCTCCGGGAGAGTCATAGATTTGAGTTTATTAGGTAGGTGGGCTATTGTGACTGTCCCAATGTAATACCGTACTTAAGAGAGGCTCTTCTTCTTCAAGGTCAAAAAGTCGTCGTGGTTCAGTCCGACACTTAAGAAAGTAGTGATGAAACGAATACTCGTTTATTAAAAATTCAATTAAATAAAAAAATTATATATTTCTTTTTAAAACTAAAAATTAAAAACAAACCTAAATTAAAAAAAGAAACCAAATAATATAAAAAAATCAAGAATTAAATAAAATAAGTAAAATATCTATATACTGTTGTTTTTAAGCAAATTAAATTCAAAACTTGGAGGCAACTAAATTAAAAATAGTTAAAAAAAGAAAAAATAAAATAGGGTCCTAAAAGTTAAATGAAATAAAAAATATATTTCTATTTTTGAAACAATCAAATATAAAAAATAAAAATAAAAAATATAAATAAAAATTAAAAGTAAATTACAAAAAAGTAAAAAAATACATAAAATAACTTTTCAAAAATTAATTTAAATTAAAAAGTATATATATTTCTTTTAAAAAATTTTAATTAAAAAAAAAACATTAAAATTTCCAAGTTTTCCTGCCAGCTGGTGGCCGCGGTTGCATTTCAAACATAATAAATTTTTTGTAGAATTTTAAAAATTTTGTAGCTGAACAAAAAACAGGATATATGTAAATACTATGTATATATGTATATTTCTTGTTGTTCTGACTTTTTTTCACATACATTTCCATTTGTTTATCGTACTAGCTGTCGGGCTTCTTAAATTGACTCTGGTAGCGAATGCATTCCGATTACGAATACAATGTTTTCAGTCGAGAACAGTTCAAATCATTGGAATTAACTAAATTAATTTTATCAACAAGTATTGGCTAACGTTTTTCATAAAAAATCTCTCATGTATAGAATTGTTTAGGTATCATGTAATTACTAAGCCATAAAGTAAGAATAAGATACTCGCTGAAATTGCTTTAAACCCCAAAAACGGCAACGTGACCGTTACAATAAAAATATATGTATGTTTTTCAGTCATTTCTTAAAGTTGACGTATTTATTTATGGCCAAAAATTGCCAGTTACTTATACATAAAGACTTTATTACTTAGCCCTAATTAGGGTAAAATCTTCTTAGTGACTCACTTCATTTTGTTGTTAAAATTGCAGTTGCATTTTTTCGTCAATAATCAATTTTGACTTTTGGAACATTTCGATTAATTTCATATTTGCACTTCTGTTAGAGGTTTCTTTGACACATCAGTACTTATAGAGGTTGCATTTTTTGGTGATTACTGACAAAAAAAAAAAGTCGAAATTCCCATTTGGGATAGGCAGTGGGCTATGCTTCTTAAATGTAAAGCTATAAAATTAAAAATTATTATTAACAAGAGATCTGTGTATGCAATTGTTTAACTAAAGGTTTTCTTATTTGGTTACAGTCATAAATTGATTTGTTGATCAATTCCATAAATGTAACATACAAATTACTTATGCGAAGGTGTTTGCAAAATATGTACCAGTACTTGTTTTCGAATGTTTTCTTGAATTATACAATTTAGGCTTTTATGTAATTGCTGCAGCTGCTTTCCAAAAATGTGCATCTAATAATTTTTGCTACGAAAAAGGAGTGAGTAGAAGGTTCAGCCAATGACAAAATGCCGAATTAATGACATTTAATTAATCGTAATCGTCGTCAGCAGCAGTAACTAGATTTACAATCCTGTACCAATTTGGTTGATTACAAAAAATTAATGTAGTACTTCGTGCCTTTTTTGTAATGCGGGATTAGGTGAAAACTTACAAAATGCCGGCAATCAACAATGAGCGAAATGTGTCTCAAAATGTTTCAGTTTAATGTCGCTTCTGATGGCCAGATGTTTTTTTGTGAGCCGCCTTTTCATGGCAGAATAACAATCGGAGGTTTGTAATTTTCTGCCCACTACTTGGCTGACACTTCAAATGTTTCATCTTAAAAATATTTTTAAAAACTGAAATTTTTTAAATACTAGCTATGTTTCGCTAATACGAAAAGAAATGTGCATAGCACTTACGAAATTATATGAAGAAATAGTGCGATCAAACGGCGTTGATAATGATATGGATTGCCGTATTGATTAAGATATCGATATTGAAAAATTTATCGACGTAAATTTGAATGATTACATCATAAGTATTTCGGCCAGGCAATCGATAAATATTTTGATGACTTTATAAAGAGACGTATCGATAATAATATCGACAGATGTATCGAATAATGCTAATTTTGATAAAAGTCTTGTTGATTATGTCGCCAACAGCTTCCGCTGCAGGTTGCTTTGAAAGGAATATAACCCTCAATGTTGAAGGATTCCAGAGTGGCTCACAGAAAATTAGTAATTATAATAGCTCTGAAAAAATACAATTAGCAGTGGGCTGCGAAATTAACGGCATCCCTCTGACCTAGGCGGATCTAAGTAGCGCCGCTACAACAACAACAACAACGAGCCCTCTAATTTAATACATCTGGGTGTCGAAGCATTCAAAAAAGCAAATTCTGAGCTACTAGATATAACCGTTGATGTACTAAATAGAGCATCAAAATCATATGTTCAACTGAAAATTTCTAGAAGCTCACTACAAAAGAAGCGCAGAAAAGAGAAGCAGCAGCATACGATTAGCACTTCTGTATACATTTCGCTTATAAATATATTTACATGAAACTTAATATATTTTTTTTTTTATTGCTTTACTCCTTCCTTTATCATTCTTTTTCAGTCTGAATCGAAAATCGTAACTATCGTAAAGTTGAATTTAGGTTCAAATTATAACCTACAGTGCATTCTAGAATACCCAACTAGCTTGCATATTTCAAAAATTCTCAACTCTGCTCTTTTTTTTATCTTTTTCAGGACTACTACATCAACACAATTTACGCTGGCTGGCGTGATCTCATGGACAACAAATCCGATCCGCGCACACGAGATTGGCCATTAATGAGTTCACCCTTCCCCACCATTGCCATCAGTTTATCCTACGCATACTTTGTGAAGGTGAGTCAAGAAGAATGACGATAAAACAATTATTGAAACTAGTTTAGGTCCTAAAAACATTGTGTCGTACAAATGCACAATAAAAGTCAAGAACTAATAATGGCTGGTTTACATTAAAAAAAAAATGAAACGAAAAGTACGAGTATGATTACAAATGCCAAGGCTGCTACAAAGGAATTAAATATACTGCGCTAGCCATTGCGCAATTGAATAGACTAGGAACATAGAGTACTAAATACATAGACAGTTACTCAAACAAATTACCACGAGCTAAATTTTTTTTTTGTTATTTCCTTATAAAAATATCGTCTAGGCTTTAACCAAAACCGTGCCAATCGCAGTTCCAAACTTTATACATAAATAAAGAAAATTCAACAAATTTTGATCAAAATTTCAACTTTTTATACTGAATATTTTGAAAATTTTTGGGTATGCAGTTTCATAGCCTATACAATTTTAGTCTAATGAAGTGCAAGTTAAAAGCGGCTAAAAAATTTTTTGGTGACGGATTTTTGTAAGTATGAATTTCCTATGAAATAAAACGCGGGAGACCGTCAGCAACAAAATTTCAAAATTTTCAACGCAAGTTTTTATAAATTACGCTTGTTACATTAAAAAACACGAAAAAGTAGCCTCCAAAAAAAATTCTCAAAAATCAACGCTATTTCACTTCATTAGACTAAAATTATATGGGCTATAAAACTGCATACCCTATAAATTCAGAATTGAAATTTTAATGAAATTTTGTTGAATTTTCCTAAATTTGGTATAAAGTTTGAAACTGTGATTTACACGGTTTTAATCGAAGCTTAGACGATATTTTTATATAAAAACCACAAAAAAAAACTATTACGAATATTAAAAAAAACACACGTGGCCATTTGTTTGAGTCACTGTATATGATATCAAGTCAAACAAACAATAAACAATGAAGCAAGCAGAATGCAAACTTTTTAGTTGACTTCTAAAACCTGTCTTGGTAGCCTGCACAGCTGGCTTATATATTTTCAGTCCGCATACTAGTTATAATTAGCTTCGGCATCCTTCTGGTTTTAGCCCTACGTAACTTTTTTTATGACTGCATAAAAATACATACATGCGATGTCAACTTTATTCCTAGTGCTAAAATCGGTAAACTATTTTTTTATAAATAGGGATTTTAAAATTAGCATATGAAGTCATTCTAGGCTTTGCAAAAGTGTACATACATAGATAAACAAGTAAATTTTAAGCAAAAAACATACTTAAATTCTTATATAAAAATTTAAGATTATCTTTAATTTCATTATGATCCAATGATCAGATATAAACCAAATTAGTATGTGACCCCCTGTGAAGTAACACCTTTCCTTAAAAAAAGAATTATTAAAATCCGTTAACGTGGTCCGTTTTGTAAAGTCGGCTAATAATAGGGATGCTTTCAAAATAATGTGAATCAACTTGCTTCAAACTTTGAAATAAGGAATTTTAGAGTTAAATGCGGCCATATCCTGAAAAGAGAGAACCAAAAGCACTATACTAAAAATCCACCTAAGCCAAACTTGATATTGTCGATAGATAGCTATATATATATTTTATACTAGTTAATCGGTCTAATCGGTATTAAATTTTTTCTAGTAAACATGCATCCTAGAAAACTTCCCTGATCGCGATAGAAATTTATAAGGAATTGACAATATGTGTAATAGTTAAGTACATTCTATGGTTTCTAATTTTTATACCAAAAATTACGTAAAAACTGTTGAACATTGGCCCAAGCCTAGTCAAATCTTTAACTTTTATTCAAAGGTTGAGTTTAAGGAAGTATAATCTATATACATATAATAAAATTGTAACTGACCGATGTCTGTACATTATAGATTTTAAAGAAAAATAAGAGCAACAGAAGCCAAATAAATAATTTTTAGAATTTTTGTCTGTCTGTCTATCTGTCTGTATGTTTGTACGCGCATCACTCAAGAACTAATACTCCATGTATTGAATACAGCTTTCATCGGTGTAAAAAGAAAAAATTAGGGAGTTGCCACCCGTTTGAAAATTGCAGTTTAAGTTAATTGATAAGATAAAGTAAGTATTGCAATATGGCAAAGAGGTTTAAGAATGCTTACAGCTGGAAATATTTTTGTTGAAGGTTGCCACCTGTTTGAAAATTTTAATTTAATTTATTTGATAAAAAAATTCAATACCGAAATATGGGTATTAAACTGAATAGGTTTAGGAAAGCTTACAGTCGGAAATATTTTTGTTGAAGGTTGCCACCTGTTTGAAAATTTTAATTTAATTTAATTGATTACAAAATTTCAATATTGAAATATGGGTATTTAACTGAAGAGGTTTAAAAAAGCTTACTGCCGAAAATATTTATGAGGAGGGTTGCCATCTGTTTGAAAATTTTAATTTAATTTAATTGATTACAAAAATTCAATATTGAAATATGGGTATTTAACAGAAGAGGTTTAAGAAAGCTTACTGCCGAAAATATTTATGAGGAGACTTGCCATCTGTTTGAGAGTTTTAATTTATTTTAACTGATACAAAAAATTCAATATTGCAATATGGGAATGAAATTGAAGAGGTTTAGAAAAGTTTACTGCCGAAAATATTTTTGAGGAGGGTTGCCACCTATTTGAAACATTTTATTCAATAAAATTGACAAAATAAATGAAATATGTAATGAATAATAATGATTACTTTATTTGCCAAAATGTTTAATACAAAAGCTAGTTTTGGTTACTCTCGCTAATTGCATACTAATTATCTATAAAAACTAAAGGATAACCAAATGTAAGGATATTATAATTTGCTGCGTCCGAACAGAATAATGGCACACGCTTACAAAAACTTAAGAAGTGTATATTTTTGGTTGATGCAATAAAGCAGATTTTCTTAACGATTTTTGGAAGATATACCTTTAAAAAAAAATTATGCATGTTCATATGTATGTATGTACAGCAGCTGTATGTCAGATGCAGCTTCATGTCATAAAAACTTCATAAAACCAAAACTATCACAGCACTCACATCGAACTGGTTCAACAGCGGTTTTTCCACGCATTGCATTGCATTCTGTTATCGATAATTGGTCAGCTGAGCTAATTGGCCCTACGCCCTTGTGCAGAAAGAGGAGCCGAAAAACGTGAGCCTGGGTTTTCATGCTACATGCAGTTTCGTTTTTCGATATTTTATTATTTAGTATTGAGAGTTCCGGTCATTTGAATGCACTCACAATTCACAAAAAATTTTCATTATTTGGTGATTAAAAACCAAAACCAGAAACTGAATGAAAATGAAAGAAAGGTCGCTGCATTAATAGTTTGATACAAATTTTGGTGAAGAATTCTAATTTCCGGCTTCTGGGATCGCGTACAAAAGACTTAAGCGACGAACTTGTTTAGGAAGCGAAACAATTTTCTTAAAATGTATGCATATGAAATGTGCTGTTGCCATAGCTTATATTTTTGTGCTTAGCAAACTGGTAATATAGTATCTAAATGCATGAATGCATATTATTTTATTCATTTTAATAATTATATCATCGATTTAGTACTACTGCTCAAGAGCTCACTGGCAGCAAAATACAAAAGACTTGAGAAGCGAGCTTGCCAGTTGATACTTAAATAGAAGTACATCATAAGCTGTTAGTACATAGCATATTTGCAGTAAATTAGAAGCTAATGCGGAAGTTTTATTTTTTTTTATGAATTTCTCGAGTCGAGTAACTCTTCTATTTATATTGTGCACTCTATACATTATTATTAGATGATTTATTAAGAAATCAGTCAATGAAAGCAACTAGATAGTTTAATCTAATTAATCAAAATACAAACATTTCAATGCTTTAACTGTAATAAAAATGCGGGTGAGATTCAAAATTTATATCTTAGTTGTTGACATCACACCACACCCTTCTGCTCGTCAGCTTTCAACAGTATATTGTGTGTGTGTTCACTTTTTGGTCAAATTGTTCGCACAGTGTTCGATTTTAATGAACAATTTATCTAAATTTTTCTTCTGCTGAAAAGCATGTTGAAATGTTGGTCAAACATCTTTACATTTAATGGACCTACGTACATATTATATAGGACCGTTTTCAAACTCACAAGATATGCAACTCTCATTTGGAAACTAAATAACTTTTAATTTTGGTACTGAAAGTCGATACTTAAAGCCGAAGCTGGCTGGAAATGGCATCGCATTCGACCAAAAGACGCCGACCAAATACAAAATCTATGTAAATTACCCTCCAGTCAACAGTGTAAGGTCCGAATTCGTTCTTGTGATTATACTTGATCTCTTCTTTGTATTGATTAGAAATTTTAACCTCTTTAAGCTATATCCTTTGTTTAAGCATTTTGCATGGATTTTAGCATAGACAGTTGGCAACGTAATTCGCATTAACGGGACAGTTGATCCGATCAAAAGTATACCCAGACAGGTGACAGCAGAGCGGCCTACATGTCCCAGTGGTCGTCAACGGTAAAAATCTATACAACCTTTTTGTTTTCTATTCCTAGCAGACTTTCGATTGAAAGGAATTGTTTGCGCGAGTGTTTTTCGGAGAATAATCGATTATTATTGCACAATGATTCATATTTTAATTCATTTTTCGTGAAATTCCAGCTGTTTTTGCTCGTGATTCCGCAGTTGAAGGAAATTCGAAGAAATTTGCTTTCATTTTGTCATTAGTATTAAACAGCCATCCCGAGATGATCCGTCGTTCGATCGACCATATAAAATTCGCTCATATGAATAAAGCCTTCGCAGAAGCGCTGAGTGACACGAAGTGCCATTCAATCGGTAATATGTCCCTTCAGATTGTGGGATCGCAGGGGTGTTCTAAGTTTACCACCTTATTTGGGTTTCTTTTGTTAGAAAGAGCAATGTTGCCTGTAACTTCTCTGAAAGTTCTGGATATGTAGCTCCACCTAATACAGAAATATTTCAACATGAAAATAAGTAGGAGGAAAAAAGTTAAGTTTTTTCGAATTTGGGGCTGCCTGGTAGGTAAAGGGAGGAAGCCACCCTTAGAAGTAAGGTAATTTTGGAAATTTGCATTATCTTTCTCCCAAACTTTATAAATTTTTCTTTAGCAATTAAAATTGACAATTGTAACCAAAATCTGTATGCCTTCGTGTTAGCAATAAAATTAATTACTAAACAAAAAAAATCAACAAAACTTCAGTAATGTAATTTTAAATAAATGAACTCATCGGTCAGTTGTACAAATTTACATTTATTTTAACAACTATTTTTTCACAATTCTCCCATTACTTTACAGCTACGACGCTGCGTAACAACGAACAATTCGCCCCTAAATTTTAATTTTAATTGGCAACGTAAATTTTGTTAATTGCATAGTGTACAAATTATATGTATGTCACCGTGTACATATATATTTATTTATGTACATATATGTATGTACTTAAGAAGATTTTATTAGCCAGCATTTTATCTCTTTTTCGTTTATTCCTCTGAACCTTATTTGACTGCATTGAGAAATGTTTATTCACATGATTGCCACCATTGCTAGTACTAATTTTAGCTCTATTATTGCGCACTTTAATTTACGTTGCATCGCATTTTGCATATGAATTTCTGATGCTGCGCGCAGTGCTGGTTGAGTGATCATTCAGAGTGCCAAAACGCAGGTGGAAATTGCTGTCATCTTAAGTTTTTGTTGAAAGGCATACGTACATACATACATATGTATTAGAGGGCTGCATGAATGCATTCAAAACGGCTTTTGAATTATTCATATACAAAACGAATGAATGATTTTGGATTGAAATTTTTTTGAATTTGAGTGAATAGCTGTTCTGATATTTGTGTCGACATTACAATATTCAAACACAGTGAAAATAAATTGAATTGAAATAAATGACAATTTTTTGTATGAATATCCAAAAATATTTTTTCTATGCACATATGTACAAACAAACAATTGGGGTATTCACAACGGTGTCGTAAGTGTCGTATCATTGTATGTTGTAAACTTTAAACGCCTAAGAAATATATCAATATCAAAGTCATATTATGATTTTTTGTAGTGCTAAAAAATAGTTGGTTGACGTTTCAAGTTCTCCAAACATTTATTTAAGCTCTTAAAGTTTAGACATACAACAATACGACACTTACGACACCGTTGTGAATCGCTCAAATGTATGTATGTATGTATTGCTGCGCTCCTATTACATACGAAAAAACTTGTTTGTAGAAAAAAACTTTTACTGAAATGAGTTTGAATGATTTGAATGTTTTCCATTCATTCATTCACATTCTTCCATTTGAAGGTAGAAAATATAAAACAAAATGTATATTCATAAATTACAAAATTCCAAACGCTGAGTGTTTTGTATGTGAAGTAAAATATTCAAATCTACTGTACTCTGTTTGGCTAGAAGTTTGAATGAATTCATGCAGCCCTCTAATATGTATGTTTTATGTGTGCAGGTACATACGAACAAAAAAAAATAATAATATTTATTACGTGTTTGGCCGAACTTTTTCTCCAATTTGTGGTTAAAGTTTTGGCGCTTTACTGCCGCCATGGAGGGACCTACAACTTTTCAGCGCCTCCACGCGGCAAATGGTTTTGTTAAGGAAAGCTTTTGTCAACTTAAATACTTTCGGCGGTTTGCTATTTCCTTGCCGGTCGACGACCGCCATTATAAACAAATTTCGGTATCATTTGGTTGCTACGTTGAGCTGGCAGCGAACTTGGACCCCGACCAAGTAGTAGTCGCACCTCTAATCACACAGATAAATACACGTGTGTATTCATTTGTTGGATGATCATCAAAATTTTAATATCATCAATTGTTTTTTTTTTCTTTTAAATTTTTTCCCCTCTTTTTATTGCATTGGCACATTTAAGTGCAGCACCTCGATTTGCTTTCAGCAACTGTGCTCAATCCAAACTCGAAAGGGTTTGACAGAAACTTGAATGTATGTATTTATATTTACATACATATGTTGTACAATTGTGTATGCATACCATAGTACATATATACATACATATGTATATGTAGGTATGTGCGTATATTTTGTGTTTAGTTGTAATGATAATTTTGCAATAAGCGTTAATTTAAGTGGTTTTTTATATGACCAGCATTATTGGATGCCTCTCTGATTTCTTTCATTTTCTATGTTTCGTAGCATTGCATTTTCTTATTTGTCATCTCTTTAA